AAAAATGTCAAGCCCCTACTAATTGCATAAATATGAAACCAGACCGCTAGACTACATGTTCAGGATATGCAGATCTGATAGCTGTAAGCATCCAACATATTCTCAAATATTACGTAATTCAATTATATTCCCACAAGTGATAAAAGAATTTCTGAATTTTCTAAATTTTCTCAAAAATTTGCCTCAAATCGAATCCGACTGTGTTGCGTAAATTAATAAAACTTAAGCAAGCCGTCAATTAATTTGTTTGTTCCTACTTAAGCAATTATAAGGTTGGCATTTAAATCTAAATATATATATTTGTATCATGGTAGTTACGTTTTTTAGAAAACCGTGCAAAAAAAATTTCATCTCTTATATAAAGTACAATTTATTTGGTATCCGTGCTCGTACAAAAAATTCGTATAAAAAACTGTATTCGTTCATATTGACAAACCGTATTATTTCAAAATAAGGTGAGACAAATAAGAGAGTTATATTCGGCGGGGACCGAATCTCGCATACCCTCCACAATTTTTTCGCATTCTCTTATTTGATATCCTGGTGGATAGCTGGTGTTATTAAGAAAAAAAAATTATCCGCCTGAGTGGCCGAGTAGGGAAGAGTCTCGACTAGCAACTCAATGGTCGTGGGTTCAAATCTCAAGTATGGATAGAGTTTTTTTAAAAAGCCGAAAGCCTTAGACTTTAGTCTTGGAATTTTATTCTCTGTCTAAATTTGTAATAATAATAATAATAAGAAGAAGAAGACATTAATCGCGGTATCCTACTATATTGTTTTAAGATTAATCCATTTTTAAGCAGATAATCTATCTTCACTTAAGGAGTGAAAAGTGAAAATACAGTGGTGTGTGTGTGGGGTAATAATTTTTTATTTTTTCTGTGGGGCATGACGACGGATGTTTTTCATTTTTACAAGTAAAGAGTAGGGTACTTCGTAAAGTAAATGTGAAAAATTTCAGGTTTCTAACTTTAATAATTTCCGAGCAACAAGCAAAAATCCCAAAAATTTTTATATAATACTTTTTTGTCGTACGAACTTCAGTTTTAGTTATATGAGAGAGGGTTCCAAAATTGCCACAACCAGGCCAAAATTTTCATACTAATTTATAATGCCGAAATACTATTACTTAGCCACTTTTGCCGAGAAATTTTGAAGATTGCAATTTTTTTTCCATATAATGACATTTCGAAAAGGTGGACCGATCTGACCCGTTTTTAATAGCGTCCGCCCTCAGATCAAAACATGTTACTGTACCATATTTCATCATATTATCTCAAAAATTGCGGCATATAGCTTGAAAAGAAATTTGGACAGACAGGTTTAGATCGATTCAGAAAATGGTGAATGATAAAAGATGGATCTATCTCTTAAGCCCTTCTGCGTATTGGCATCACATACATGGCTATACAGAATAACTTCAATTCAACGAGAGAGACAGAATTAAAGACAGAATTGCTTTGGAGCGTATGCTTCAGCAGAATACATTTGAAGCAATCTTAACTCGGAATAAAATTGCATGTGTACTATGATATTTATATAGCGTCCGATAGAAGTACGGCTAATACAAGAAACGAATTAGTACATTGCGTATAATTCAATAATATTCATAAGGTAAGCTTAGATCCAAATTAATTTCAGTTTCATTTTTTCATATGTCAATTATTAGAGGCAGACAACGACCATTTTTAAACTATTTGTTGTATATTAAATTAGTGGGGACGCATGTATCCCGCAGAACAGATAAAGATAAACCTATCTCTTATTACCCCGACCCATTCAGAACCATAAGCTGAACTGATCTAAGCCCATACATCGCTCTGTCGGTCTGAACGTGTGATTAAAGGATTAAAGTTGTACTACATTAGCTTGCGTTTTGGGCCCGCTTTTCCATAAATACGCAAATGAAGAATATGCCTTTATATAGAAACAAGATATAATTTTTGTGTTCTATAATAAGTATTTAATGGTCGACCTTGCCCGACTATAATGTTCCTACTTGTTTGATTTAACTAAATTGAATAAGTGAAGCAAAAGCTTACGACAAAACGGTAACTTTCGCTCTGTACTTCTAGCATTTCGGCAGTGCTAACTGTACATAAGACTGGCGGTCTGATGGGCGAGCGAAGAAATACAATTAAGACCCCGTAACTTTGCTGACAGCATTATATAAAATAAAAAAAATAAAAAATAATAAAAAAAAAGACGCCGAGCGTGTAGCAGAACAAGGTTTCGATCCTCGGACCTCTGGGTTATGGGCCCAGCACGCTTCCACTGCGCCACTCTGCTGTTGTATTCCTACTTTCCTAAAAGTATACTTAAAGTGGTCGTTAATTTCTATAACATTCTCTTAACATTTAAAGAAGAATAAAAGAAATAAAAAAAATCCATAAAAACATAAGATTGTATTTTAATCGACCATATTTTGATGTTTATTGTCAGCTTTTGCTTTTTTTATACCCACCATCCAAGGATGAGAGGTATATGTCTTATTGTCGAAGCCCAGAAGCAAGCATCAAAGACGCCATAAAGTATATATGTTAAGGAAGAAAATGGAAGAAATAGTTTCTCCAATACCTTTATAAATCCCAAATGAGCAAAAAAAATTTGAATTCCTTTAATCCTTTCATTCCTGTTTTTCAAATCTCTCTCTCTCTCTCTCTCTCTCTCTCTCTCTCTTTAATTGAAGAGTTCTATACATAAAGAATTTTAATCGCATGAGCATTTATTCATTAGCATAGGTTTTGTGTTAAACAACATCCGCCTGAGTGGCCGAGTAGGCAACAGTGTTGACTAGCAACTCTCAATGGTCGTGGGTTCAAATCTCAAGTGAGCTATAGTTTATTTAAATAATAAAAGATGCTAGTGTTTTAAGACTTAGAATTTATTTATCCGGTTCACTAAGTGCACGAAGACCGAGGAGCATGACGTTGTGCTTGTGTTTGCAGCGACGAGCCTCTACTAACAGGATTCAATAAGTTGACACCCTCGCTGCCTCTCCTTCCTATTGCTCGGAAGCTAACTGATGGAGGACTCTTTAGCAGTCGCGGACGATATTTGGCCTCGAAGTCGATCAATAACACTGTGATAAAAAAATTCTCCAGCCGATTTTTAATAGTAGAAGAAGACTTAATGGCAGCATACAACAAATTCGCCCCCGACATCTTCAGAAAAGAATCCACAACGAATATCCCAGAGTCGACAATGATGAAAACGCACGCACAAGGGCAAATCGCGATTCGAAACTTTTAACCCATCCAGGGTAAGCCAAGATCCATTGGAGAAAGCTTTAATAATCGGAGAGAGGAAAAGAACCAACCAGGTCGTCAGTGAAGATGAAAGATAGCAGAGATATTAGAAAAATTGAGGGACTTTATCTCTGCATGACGCCCGACGACGACTCCCTCCTCCTCCTCATCAACGCACGCGGTCACAGTCCAGGAGGAGGACGAATTCGAGCCGTATGGCATCGATGGGGAAGGTGGTATATAGTATACCGCTACCTCATTTTCAATCAATCACCTAAACGACGTAGGCTGCTCACAGGATACGCCACAGCGAGGTAAACCGATGAGCAGCTCCAGTGTCAAGAGTACCTCGCAGTCAAAACAAGATTCCATTTGTGAAATATTTCGTTTTGAACTCCTTTTTTTTCTTCTTCGTTTTGAAAAGATGAACCAAAATATAGTTAAATTCCCGTTAACCATAATGAATTTGTTGTTTGTATACTTTTTTTTTTTAATTTTATTTATTTATATTTTCAACAATTCTTTTTTTTTCATATTTGCGTATGATTCATGTAAGCACATCTTGTTAAGTAAAATTAATTCCAAGTCCGTGTTTGATGAAAAAAAAGAAACGGAAATTTTAAAGAATTTGTCTTCCTTATCCCAAAATGGAGTTTTCTAAAAATTTAATCCGAAATAAGAGTTGTAAGTGTGTGCATGCATGCTGGCTCATGTTTTTAGAAAACTCAGCAGTTATGCAACGGACGTATATGTTCCATTCTCGTACAACTGCAAAGGAACTTGACGAACTTTTGACATTCATAATTGTAAACAAGGGCAGAGCCCATCTTTTTCGCCAGATTATGTTTTGTGGCTCGATAGTGGGCTAAGGCGTGGGCGCCGGTGTCGCGGCAGCAACCAAAATGACCGCAACTCAAACAAATATATAAATTCTTTACTCGCCCGCATTCTTTACACCTCACCCCCTCCACTAATTCAATCTCCTTAAGGAAATCGCATAAACTATGTGAAAATGATTAAAGCAAATAGTGTTTGATATTATATAGAATAATCGTACTCTAGAAAGTTTACACGCAATTTCGATTCCAGAAATTCCTTCTCATGTCCCAAAGTCTTTATCCGTTCATCCAATGCGGCGGCTTTTGCAATGGCGGCTTCAGCTTTACGATTGCAATCGTCAAAGTCCTTTTGCGTATGTTCGTTACCGTTGCTTTTTTCTTTTTCTTGCAAGGCACGCAATCTGAAAGTGTAGTTAGTTAAAAGTTTTTTTTTTTTTTTCTTTTTCTCAATTTTCAATGTCATTCGTTTTTTACTGGTCTTCTTTTTTTTTAAAGGCCAGTTCCAAAAGTTCTTTTTCCTCCTTTAAATTCTGCATTCTTTCTTCCAATTTAGTAATTTCGTCATCGGCGCTTCTTACTGTAAGTTTACAATCGTGTAGTTCATCTTTAAGCCGATCATTGTCGGCCGTACTAAATGAAGGTCAACTTAGTCAACTTAGTCATCCTTTCAATTTTAAACAATTTAAAGCATACTTGCATCCCTTCTGTTTTAATTCTTCTTCTAAAAACTCTTTTTCCTTCAATAAAGCCTGCATGCTTTTCTCCAATTCAAAAATTCGATCTCTATCATCGGCAGGTCTCAGAGCGAGTTTATTATCATCGAGTATCGTCTTCTCCATGCTAATTGAATATGAATCAAAAATTCCAAAAATTATTAAAATGAAAACTTTCCTTTGCACTTTTTATCGATGCTTTACTGCTGAAATGCTTTTTGTTTCACTTCCTCTTCTAAAAGTTGCTTCTCTTTCACTAAAGACTGCATACGTTTTTCCAATTCCGAGATTTGGCTATTATGAGTTTTCGCTGATAGTTGATAGTTATGTAAATCCTGCTCTAAACGTGTGATTCGATCTTCATAATGTTTCCTAAGTACATCCAGCTGTTCATGACTGATTTCATTGAAATGATGAGAAATAATTTTTCATTTTCGTTTTTATTAAATAAAATCATACCCGTTATGTGATTGCTTTAATTTTTCTTCCAATATTTGTTTCTCGCTTATCATGGTCTGCATTCTTTGATCCATTGTGCTAATTTTATCATTACCGGTTAGGACTGAGGCACGATAATTTCGTAACTCCTCTTCTAAATAAGTGAAACGTTCTTCATATTCTTTTTTCAATGTATTGAACAAATCACGACTAAACATAAGAGGGATAAGTTAGCAATGTTATTAATGTTACATTTCACACTTCGATACTTATTATCTTTATCTAGCAAATTGGATTGAGAAGTCGAATGATCTTCTTCTTTTGCTTCGCATTCACTCGATTTAGCTCCTAAAGTATTTGCGCAAGATTGCCTTTGCAAAATGAATGAAAGGAGAATGAGATTCTTAGAAGACAAAATTACTTTCTTGCATTTAATCCATAAATCCTACTCATTATCATTAACTGCTAGTTGCTGCTGTTCTCGTAATTCCCATTCTGTTGCCAAATGATCAGGCTTTGTTCCGCATTCTCTTGACGTCCTAGCTTTCGAAGAACAGACATTATTAGATTTTCTTTATAGGATGAAAAAAATTTAAAAAAAATATATTCATGTCTAATCCACTCGACCATTCCATTCATTATCCTTATCTGTTTACCGTAATTCCCATTCCAATGCGCTGGGTAAATCTTTCTTTTTTTCGTGTTCACAAGCGTCACCTTTTAAAGGATAAAGACAAATTTTCTTTCTAGAAAGCATAAAGAAAACAATTAAAGTTATCTAGACCAAGAAGAAGAAGAAGAAAAATAATAATCTTTTTGTTCTCAAATCGATTTCCCTACTCGTCATCAGCTTGTGGAATATCCCTCTCGAGTGCTCGCTGATCCTTGTCTTCTCCGTACGCACAAGTAACATAAGGACAAGTTTTCCTTTAAAGAATACAAAGCAAGAGAAAAAATGTAAAAAAAATGTCCTTTTTTTTTTCTAAACCTACTTATTATCAGCTCGCAGACGGTCCGATTCTAATTTTCGTTGATTTTTCTTTGCTTCGAATTCAATCTTTGTAGAATGAATAATGGAATTTCTTTGTGTGGAATAAATGAAAAAAAATAAAAATCCGCCTTTCTTTAAAAAGACATCATCTTACTCGCTACATGCCGAGGGAAGTTTCCATTCCAATGTTGCTTCGTCTTCCTTTGTTACGTAATCACAGGGACAATAATTTTTAGAGAAAGCCGAAGTGCTTCTTCATAGATCGAATGAGAAGAAATCAAAATGATGAGAAGGAAAGCCTCTTGCGTTCTTACTTTTCTTACTGTTTTAAAATACACGGAGCGCGCCGTTCCCATGGCAATCGATCATTCTTCCATTCGTATTCGCCTGGTTTGCTCTTTACCGTGCAAGCAAGCGTTTTTGAGAGACTGAAGGAAGAAAAAATAAGCAAAAGCACTATAGTCGGCCACGTCCCAACACCACTTTCATACCAGCTATTTTTCTACCGACCTTTCGAAATAGGTATTCGAAAAATTTATTGGCGCCCAACCATTTTTGGCATGTTAGAGTGGAAAATTTTCTTAAAAAAATATGCACAATAACGGACGGACGGACAGAAGGACAGATCTACTTAAATCGTTAAGTTTCACAAAGTGATTCTGAATCAGTCGGTATATCTCAAGTCCTTATATCTGTTGCATGCATTCACAAGAACTTTATATAATCTTATACCACAAGTGGTGTAGGGTATAAAAAGAATAATTATATTAAAAGTAGTTTTTTCAATAACTCGCTTACTACTTATCAGTTTGACCGCTGTCTCGCTCAAACGTTGATCGTTGATTCTCTTTTGTTTCGTACTCACACATGTAACGTTTTGCAGAATAAGCAGCAGTTTCATTTCGTGAGCCGACCGATTTCAACGTTCGTTGATTTTTCCTTGCTTCGATTTCACGCTTTGTACAATAACTAACGAACTTTCTTTGTATGGAATAAATGAAGAGAAATAAAGAGATTAAAAAAAACAAAAACTCGGCTTTTTTTAACGATATCACCCTACTCGCAACATGCCAAGGGAAGTTCCCATTCCAATTTGCCTTCGTCTTCCTTTGTTACATATTCACAGGGATAACGTTTTTTGGAAAACGCCGAAGCGCTCCTTTGTAGATTGAATGAGAAGAAAGGAAAATAATGATTAGGACAAGTCTTTTGCGTTCTTACTTTTCTTGCTCGTTTCAAATACGCAGACGAATGACCTTTTTCGAAAGCGTCCGATCTTACGCCAAAGCACGTCATTAGGCGAAATTTCATCAAAATCTTTCAAAAATTTGTGGTTCATAGATTGAGCATGAGAAAACAAGACAGACGGACGGACGAACAGATCAGATCAAATCGGAGAAATTCAGAAAGCGATTCCGACTCGATCGCTATCATAAAAGTTAAATATATCTAAAGTCTTTACCTACAATATTTCATAAAATCTTGTATCACAAGAGGGGTAGGGTAGAAAAAAAAAACAAATCTTTCTTTGTACATTGAATGAGGAAAAAATGAAATAATTTAAAGCCAATTTTCCTAGTCATTTAGTCAATGTACAATCGTACTTGTTATCATCATCCTTTGGCCGCAATTCCCATTCAGATCCTTGCTGATCTTTCTTTGCTCGGTTTTCACATGGTTCAGTTTTCACGGAATAGACGCAAGATGGCTTCCTTTGCAAAAGAAGAATTATTAAAAGGCAATTTTCGTGATCATTTAATTGATGTCGCACTCGTTATCTGTTAAAGGGTTGCACCATTTTAATGATCGTTGATCCTTCTTTGCTTCTTTGAAAGCGTTAGCAGCACAACTCATCTTTTGGAGACTGAATAAAGGAAAAAATAAAATTAAAAGAAAATTTTCTTACTTCCTATTGAAATGATATGTTACTCGCTATCAGATTGTGAAAGTTTCCATTGCGGCTCTCGTTGATCGTCTTTCACTTTACATTCGCATGGATTAGCAGTTTTTGCAGGAAGTACGCAAAGTTCACTTTGATTGAACGAAGATATAATGGAAAATTATTTAAAGTCAAAGTTTCTCAATTATTTAATCGATATTCTACTCGCTATCAATTTGAGGTATAGTCCATTTCAATGATCGTTGATCTCTCTCTTCCTCGCTTTGAAGCGGCTTACTTTTCTGAAGGTAACCACAAGTCATCCTTAATAGATTGCAGTGAAGATGTATAGAAGAAATTCATTGGAAGAATATTATTTTATATATATGTAAACGATGCCTTACTCGTCAATAGATTGCGAAACGCTACTGTTTTCCTCTTCACGTTCACATGGATCACAGAGATCCTCTTCACTATGCAAAAAAAATTATTATAAAAATAAATTTTTCCATTCATTAATTTGATGACCTACTCATTATTAGTTAGTGCAACACACCATTTCAATGCACGTTGGTCTTTCTTTGTTTCGCATTCGCATGTTTTAAATTTCATACAACAGGGTTTTCTTTGCAGACTCAATAATAGAAAAAACAATCTATTAAAATACGATTTTTGTTTTCAGTTAAGCCGAGCCCTACTTGCTATCGAAAGCTCGTTTTCCATTCTCTCCTTTATAGTCATATGGATAACGTATTATGGAAGACGCACAATCAAAGGCTCGTTGATTCTTCTTCCCTTCACGATCACTCAGATTGCATGTTATGGTAGAAGTACAAGCGTCTCTTTATTGGAAAATGAAAGAATTAGAAAATTATTGAAAGAAAATTTTTCTTATCATTTAAACAATTTTCTACTCGCTATTAAATTGTGAAGTTTTCCACTCCAATGCTCGTTGATCTTCTTCCTCTTGAGGTCGCTCGCACAAATTAAATGCTTCATTGGAAGCACAAATATCGCTTTGATTAGCAAAGAGAAGTAACATTATTATAAAATTATTTCTCTATACGTACGATCGATGTCTTACTCGCTATCAGTTAGTGGAACGCACCATTTCAACGTGCGTTGCTCTTTCTTCGGACAAGCGCAAATCTCTCTTTATAAATTAAAGTAATAAAACACAAATATGATAAATAAATAAACGTCTTTTCTGTGTTTCATCGGTATCCCTACTCGTTGTTATTATCCGCTTGTCGCAACTCCCATTGTGATCCTCGTTTATCAGCTTTTGCTTCATATTCGCACGGCTTAGTAGTTACAGAGCAAACGCTAGTCTCTCTTTGTAGATGAAATGAAAAGAAAAACAAAATTTCTCTTTTTCAATTTATTAATATATACTTACTCTTTACATGCTTGCCGCAATTCCCATTCCACTCCTCGCTCATCTATTTTTGTTTCGTTCGAACATATTTGAATTTTCACAGGATATGCGGTTTGCTTCCTAATCAATGGAAAGTAAAATGAGAAAATAATATTTAAAAAAAAAATGTCATTATCACTCGTCATCTTGTAATTGTGTTTGTTGTAATTCCCGATGCGATATTTCGCAATCAAGTACGGCAGATTCCATAGAAGATACGCAGGGACTTCTTCGTACATTGAATGAACAACAAAAGGATCGATTTTAGTAAAGAAAATATCTCTTTTTTTTTATTTAACTAAATAAATTCCTACTCATTATATTCTTGTTGCAAGTCCCGATTCAATATTTCCCCATCACATTCGTCATCTTTTAAATGTTCCACGCAGAGATTCCTTTGCACGAGAAACGAAAAATGAAAAATAAAAGGAAAAATTATTTAGGAAAAAAATTTTCTTCAACTCTTAACCAACTTCGTACTCGTTATAAATATGTTGCGATTTGCGATTCACTATTTCGCAATCATATATTTCATCGTTTGGGGGAGACACACAAGCTTTCGCTACTTCGCAATCGTACGTCTCGTCTTTTCGGGCATACTCGCAAGCTTCCCTTTATACGTTAAGTGAGAAAACAATGCATGAACAATTTCTCATTTTACAATGTCAATGTCCTACTCGCTATCGTTATCATTATCGTTATCGTTTTGACGAGATTCCCATTCCATTCTTGAACCAACTCTCTTTGCTAAACATTTTTCCAATTCCGGTTTTCTTTATAATGAGAAGAAATGATTAAAGAGAAAATTTTCGTTTTCGTCGAAAAATTTCATACTCGTCACTGTTTGTTCGCTGCGACAGATAATTCAATTCTTCGTAATCGCATATTTCATCAGCCGAAGGAGAGGCGCACTCCTTCCTTTGCATAATAAATGAAAACAAAAAAAAAAAAAACAAAAAAACAAAAGAAAATTAAAATTAATTTAAAAGAAAACAATACTTTTCCCATGATTCCTCGCTTAATATTTCGCAATCGCAATTGTCGACTTTTGCAGAATAAGCGGAAACCTTCCTTTTGTATAAAACAAAGCAAAAAGAAACGAAAAATGTAAAATAAAATAAAATAAAATGATACGATTTTTTCTCTTTATATGTATTGCCTCACTCGTTTTCTGTGTCGCGTAAATCCCATGACAATCTGCGTTGATTTCCGGCGCCTTTAGATCGTTTAGATCGTTCCCTGACGAACGACATAATAAAAGAAAATATTTCTTATCATTTCATTAATAATATCGTACTCATCAGTTTGGTGTTGTAATTGCCTTTCGAATGATCGTCGTCGTCCCTTCCTTGTATAGCTTTCGAATGGACAAATCAAAAAAAAAAAAAAAAAACATTTATTTATTTTTATATTTTGCTTAATTGACAATGTCTTACTCGCCAGCCTTGTGTTGCGATTTTCCGTCTTTTGCTCGCTGTGTTTTACAGTTAAAACAAAGCAAAAGATGTTGATCAAAAGCCGCCGCCGTTTGCGGGCTAATTAAAAGAGAGTGCACTATAAGTAATGGGGAAATTTTTTCTTTTCATTTATATATTTAATGTCCCTACTCGCCGTCGTCCTTTTTACGCCTTTTCGCTTTCGCATTGTTTCCAGCTACGTGGCGACGTGGCCGTTCCTCGCAGAGTATGCTTTGAAGACCGAAAGAGAGCGAGAGAGAGAGAGAGAGAGATAGTAATTAAAAGAAAATTTCAACTTTTCATTTAATAATCAATTCTTGTACTCATCATCATCCGTCACCGCTTTGGTCATGCTCTGCCAATTATGCAATTTTCTTATTAAACACTCGTAACATACTTCATTCGTATAGCATTCGATATTTAACGGAGAACTTTTCGACGAGGACTGATCAAGTAAATCGCATCGACTGAATGTTGACATGAAACTTGAAGCTTTTAAGCAATCGATAGATGGATGGCCTTTTACTCATGTACTTACCTCGGTTGGCATTTAATCTTGTTGGTATTAGGTGAAAGAAGAAAAGAACCCTCCGACTCTTGCGAAAAAGTACTGACGCACTCATCATAACTGCAATGTATAATATTCAAGATAAGAACAAAATCAAAAATAAATATATTATTAAAAGAAATCTTATCGATCTCCTCCACCTGTCATCCATTTCTTGCCATTCCTCTTCACTATTCATGACCTGGGCGCAGCGCATCCTACCAAAAATTTCATTATAATAAAAGAAAAGAAAGAAGAATTCGAGAATTCTCTCTTCATTGAAGTCCATCTTCCTACTTGTCATTTATATCTTGTAATTTTTGCTCCAATATTTGCTTCTCTTTGATTAAATCTTTTACACGTCTTTCCATAGCGATAAATTTCGATGCCGTCACATCGGCTGAAAGTTTAAAATTATCCCATTGTTTTTCTAGGCGAGCCACACGTCTCTCATAATATTTTCTCTTTTTGCACTTATAACATGGAGAAAGAGGAACATGCTCATCGCGTGGACTAAATGAGAAGAACAGAATGAAATGAAAAAAGAGGAAAAAAATTAACGAAAATATTCTTATTCATCGTCTCTCAATGTATTCTACTCGTTATTATTTCGCTGCATTATCTCTTTACGCGTACATGCACACTTCTTTTTGGAGCCAGACAAAAGCACGAAATCTTCCATTCAAAGAGTTAGGAAAATCTCTCGAAAAATCTTTCAAGAAAACTCAAAAACTGATTACAACTGTCATATGCAGCTCAAAGAAAATGAGAATCCAACAAAATATATGACAATCTAAACGAATTGATACAACAAAGAAGTCAAACAGGGAGAGCTTGCCTGATATCCTTGCTCATCTCTCTTGAAATATTTACGCAAATGAATATCGTGCAGAACTCGCATAATCACCGATAATCGAAGCGAATTGTGATTAAAAATACAACAACAAATAAGAAAATTATATTCGGTTCTCGTCGATTCTGCTATGCCCACCACATTTCTTATATCCTCCATCAGTTATTGTGCAGGGTACATTAAATTTGTGCAGACGTATGTAACAACAACTAGGGCTTAAGATAGAGATAGAGTTTTTATTGCATCGATCGATTCAAAGTTAGTTTCTAAGCTTTTCTGTCCCTCTGTCCTGACCTCTGCGCCTGACTCAAGAACAAAAGCTGTTGGAAATGGTTCGGATCGGTCCACATTTTCGACCACTTCACATGTAATGCCTTTTTATGAAAAATATTACAATTTTCCAAATTTATCGACAAAACTCGCTATGTAGTTCTACTTCGACATTCTATGTCGAAGATATAAAATGTTTGGTTCAAATGGGGCAATCTAATTTTCAATATTTCATGCTAAAATTTGATTCACAATAGTAAATTGATAAAGAAATCGACGTTAAAAAATATGGACCACATAGATCTATTTTTGAATACCATAACTATTAATGTTTTACGATGAAAATTTGCTCATGATAGTGATTTAATGTAAACATGAAGTGAACGGAATATGAACCAAATGGGCCTATTTCTTGGACCCAACTCCATATAAGATTTCTCATGAAGAATGTTTAATTTGTAATGTTTTATGATGAAAATGGGCCCTTAGTAGCAAAATTTAGTAAAAAAATTAAAGTTGTGGGAATTGATGAACCGCTCAGATCACTTTTCCGACCAATCCCTGTACAAAGCAAAACACAATTGTATTAGTACAATGAAGTGGAGTAAAATGGTTATCAAATATTGCTACTTTTATCTAAAAGTTTTTAGGAACTCTTCCCTTGTGATTACGATATTCTTAAATAGATACTGAATAGTCTAAAAGCTCCGGTCTTACTTAAAGCACAGAATTCGTTTTCTACCCGAGAGATAGAAAAAAGTAAAACGCAGCTATGGCTAATAGTCTCAATACAGGATTAAAAAACTCGATTTCAACATTCGGAGATCGGCTAACTAGCGTTTCAGTAATGAGTTTAACATACTGGGGAATAACTAATATGCGGTAGCTCTGAAAATTCTTCCCTCTTTCATAGGGGATAAATGTACCCTAGAAAATGTGCAGAACATCGTAATAGTGATAATTTATATTTCCATAAGGTCGGTCGTCAAATCAGAAGGGGTTGCTTTATGTAAGCAAGCGGATAATATGGGTCAACTTTATTTTTTAAAAATTTTATTTAAAAAAAATGGGACAAAACATGTGTAAGAGAGGATGCAATTAATCATTATCTTTGCTTTCTTTAATAAAATTTTTAACCCATATATCCCAGTAATGTCACAGAACCATGTCCTTGATTTTGTACAAAAATTTGTTTGTGTTTTTCACCAGGGTTTCAGGGTTGGAGCTTGCGGTAATGTAGATCAACTACGTTCGTTAACTTTGCTTACGACTTCTAATAACAGATTTGTTGTTCTGATCGTTTTCAAGTCTATCGAGAAGGAGGTCGAAAACTAAATGGAGAGACTGTTTTTTTGAAACCTGTAAACAAATGGCAAAATAGAGAAGACGTTTTCTTTTGTTTTTTTTTTAACTTTTACATAAGTTTATTTCATTTCGATGGCTAGAGCTTCAAATTTCTTTAAAAATATATCTTTGGCGTTACAATCTTTCATACGCTGTACAAAGTTACGTATGATTTTTAGAGAATTCCCTTCCAAAGGACAAGCAAGTTTTTTTGTTATCTCCATTAATAAGGGCTCAAAATTGATAAAGGTTTCCTCGTAGATTTGCTCGGGTGTTGCAGAAATAATTTTCAATACTTTTAGTTGCAATTTCTCGATCTGTTTTACATTGTCTTCGATTTTCGGCAGCAAAAATTTCTGAACAATATTTGCATAATTGATCAAACAATGGCGATAGTTGTTAATAGCGTTCGAATTTTGCGTCTCCTCTACTACACCGCTAAGTATAAGCATAACATTAGAGATATGAGGTAATAAGCGTTCGCTGCGAGCCAACCATTCTGTCTCTTTCATCGTACAACGTACGTAATTAATTATTAAAAACATTTCAGCTTCAGATTTATCTTCGATGTCGAGGCGTATAAGAAAGCGGTCAAACTCTGTCGGAATTTGCTCTGGCGTTAATGCGTACTTTTGAAAGTAATACTGGGTCAATGGTTTGTATGAGTCCTTTATAATTTTCGTTATCCATTTACGATCCTTTTCGGTTGCATTTGGCAAAAACTTCTTCGATGTTTGTTGTATAAACTGTACACATTCCCTTACAATTTCGTCTCTTATATCGGTATATGTTATCAAATCCCAACGCGATTTATCCATAATTTGAGCGACTGTTAACAATACGGGAGCCGTCATCTCTCCGAACGTTAACGGTTTATACGATTGCGTTTCACCATAGCCGCCTATCAAATTCAATGTTTTCACCAAAGGTAATAGATTAGCGAACAGTTGACCATCCAAATATATATTAGTATATTTATTGATGATTTGCTTAAGGAATTGAGTCTTCCCGTCCGGATAGTATAATTCAAAATATAGTTCACATAAAAGTTGTGGAAATGGTTCTTTTTGCAAATAATCGACATCTTCAAGGGCAGCTAACAAGTGAGGCATATAATAGTTATTGGACAACGGTCTCGATTGCTTAACGGCTGCACAGTAATTTTTAATGTGTGCTAAAGTGTTATGACAAGCGCTATCAAAAAGTTTTTTCCAAACCATTTCCGGATGCTCGAACGTCAATACCAAAAAATGATGATAATCGAACGTATTGGAGTCAGCATTGTATTTATTTAGAAATTCGGTAATCCTCTGCTCAAGATCGGGACGCATGAATAACGTTGATTTAAAGCCAAATAATTTGCTTTGATAATTTAATATTGCTAACACCTGTGAGATACTGAAATTTTCTAGGGCGGCACTTATAAGTAGTCCCAAGTCTTCATAATCATTGCCATCTATATCATTGTTTTCTATATTTAATTTTTCATTAATTTTGTATTCATCGTCCGGTTCGCTGATATTGCGACAAATGTCCAATTTAATGAAATCTAACATTTGCTGACAATTTTCTAGGCTTATTATTTTAATATTGCTTTTGATCGCTTCTAAGCATTCATCATTGATGAGGGCTATTGGACGATTGAACAGCTCGTCGAGCCAGGCTTTTCTAATATGATGCAACATGTCCAAGTCATCTAAGGCATGGAGTATGTCACCAATAGTGGCATTATGGACAGTTTCTTGTAAAGTCTTAGGACGTATTGCTATAGTTTTTAATTGCTGAGCAACATCATGAGAAAAAGCTTTATTTTTTAATATACGATCCATAACTTCATAAGCCATAGCTCCAACTGCCGCTTGCAGAGTTATATTTTCGGTTAAATCCACCTCTACCCAGTAGATAAAGTCCTTCATTGTAATCATCATTACATTGGTTTGCAATGTATTCAGTAATGCTAAGATCATTGCTAATTGCTCTACTCTTACTGATTGGGAAGTTTCCGTTAATTTCGCTATTTTATTTGTGAAATCTTTGCCTACGTCATATATTTCCCAATGCTCGTGAAGGTTAATTTCTTCAGATTGTTCATAAACATCAAAAGCGAATATAATCATTTGTAATAAATGCTTTAAAGCGAAACCTGAATATTTATGGAGTTGTTTTTTAGTAAATTTTTGAAACTTTTCTGCATCCGGAGTATAAAACAATCGCAATAGATTCGTTGCATAATCATATAATTTCTTGTACATAATCTTCAAGTCAATAGGATTTATTTGTTGGATTTCCGTGCGCGTAAGGTTAATGAAAATGGCTTTTAACAATTGCTCTACCTTTCCCAATACATCATATACATCGTCAATGTACTTTAAGGAATCTGTAGCAGGTTCAAAGTATTGGAAAGCAAACCAACAGGGAGTAAATGACAATAATTCATAGAAAAACGGCTCCAAATTTAATTCCCATATTAAGGTCACGACTAGGAATTTAGGCAATAAAGGGCAAATTTCAAACACATGAGCCACATTAACGTCATCCCGCAAATTGTATTTGTATGTTGCATCAGTGTTTAAAACAAAGAACATTACAATCTTACGTAGTTTACGTTCAACAGAAGGCAAAGGTTTCTTTTCCTCCTTACTAACCAAGTTACATTCGATCAAGTAGCTTTGCAAGCGTTTCACCAAATCGTTTTTAAAATCCACATTGCCGCCTCTAAAGTGCACTTTACTAAAAGGCTTCACATAGTTATTGCAATATTCTAAAATGGATTTAATGCCATCGAACTCTTCGCAGTATTCCATTGGTGTTTCTGCCCGCAACATTTCCAAAGTTCTGTATAAATCCCTCATTTGTTTTGAGAATATTTTTTACTTATATTCTAATAAATGCAATTTATTTTTCGTTTGTGTTTACTCTTATTTTAATTTAATCTTTTCGTAGTGTGAAAATTTTATTTGTTTGGTACTCCAGCATTGCCATACGCAAAATATGAAACTTGCGATTAATTTACGATATGATTACTATGCCATCTGATAAAACAAATTCGAAATGACGTTCAGGAATCCTTGTAAAATTTATCTAAAGTCAAAGTCAAATCTATGAAAAGCAAATTGAGCATCAAGAATAACATGTAAATGCATAATAATTGTAATTATTTTAAAATAATATGCAATGTCTATCTACTCTTTGAGATGTTAGTATGCTCATGCACACTTGACTTTATGTGAGAAAGACGGCCATCTGAAAATTATACATTTATACGCTCTTTGTATTAATTAACAGACCTTAAATAATAAAAAAATTGTAGAAGAAAGTAAACTTTACTCTTGGCAAAGTTCAAAACGTAATCCCGTTTTAACATAGTTCTGGTAACAATAAAAGAGGAGACCCTAAACATCTTCTTCTTCTTTCGGCGGACTAACAGTTAATAATATAGTCAGCTATTGTTGGTTTATTTGATAACAAAGGAAAAATTTTGGATTTTTTTATGCTGCTAGGTTTTATTGAAAACGAAAAAATTGAAGCATATTAGAAATTATGTAAATTAAACAAAAGTCAAATGTGATGCTACATAACATTTCCGTTTGTGTTATTAAAATCGAAATCGATTCACCAAGCGATCCTGCAGGAGAAACCGGAGCTGCTGCTGCTCCTCGTATACAAAAAGAGCGTGAACGTGATCGTGGGCTTCGTAATAGTACCGAAATTGTTATTGAAACCTACACTAATAAGTTGTGGTGCGAAAATACGAATTGGGATACGAAAGAAATGAGTGCTGCATCCGCAGAGGAGGAACAACGGCAACAGCAAAGTGAATTGCCTACTTCGAGCAGTTCACGCGAAACAACCCCTTTGGAAGAGGGTCAATGTGCATCGGAACTACCTAAAGAAATTGGGTTTTTCTCCGGTAATCCTAGTGTTGAAGTGACTAATGGCATTATACATTTGTATAAGAAAAAGTAAGTTAAAATCCGCCGTTCAATAAAAAGACTAGCATAATAATACCGTCTTGCAATGTAATATGACCTTCACTTGCTTTAAAAAGAAATTTCTGAAAAAACAAGAACGCTTTTACAAACCGCACCTAAAATCGAAAAAAAGAAGAAGAAAACCTACATCAAAAATTCGTACACCAAAAAACTGAAGAAAACCTACACCAAAAAATCCTACAATATAATAAGAGGATTGAGAAGGCATCATGGATCTTCCGTTTGATAACAGCGGACTGCTTTAAGACGTTAATCTTTGAATTTATTTCTCGAGCTGATTTAATTATAGTAATAATAATGCATACAATTATACTTAAAGAAAAGCAAGATGCCCATCATCCTTGGAAATTATTATCCATTATTGCTTATGGCTAATTCTTTCTGATTTATCAGTTGTCATCAATTTATTCTATCATCATTTAACCGTTTTGCGTTGCCTAATATTTTTTACTTTTGCTCTCGCTCTTATGTGGCATTGAAAAGTTACTTAATACCACGATTTTCTCATTTGTATATCTCTTCATTTCTGCAGTGAACGCAAAGATATTAAAGAAGCTCCTTCCAACCAGTTATGTTTGTTAGCAGTGCCAGCCAGTTTAAGTTGCCATGATTTGTTAAACTTTGTGGCTCCTTGTCATTCAGAGATTCAACACATACGCATAGTACGGGATGGCAGTCCAAACCAGTTTATGGTTTTATTGGAGTTAGTAAAAGAATTGATCAGCAGACGCTTGCTTTATTCTTTAAATGCTTTACTCCTTATTGCTTATGTAGATTTCGAGCTAATGCTGCAGCTTTGGAATTTTATCAGACTTACAATGGCGCAGCTTATAATACCCTTGAGCCGGATTCTTTGTGTCATGCTGTTTGGGTTTCGGAGATCGAGCGTGGTGATGATGGGATCCCGCCTGCAGGTCACACAGAACTACCGACTTGTCCTGGTTAGTTAATATTAGAAATTCTTTTTTGCTTTTCATTTTAAATAACTCTTTTTTTTTCCAAATTAGTTTGTTTGGAGCGTATGGATGAAAGTGTAGATGGTGTTTTGACCATTCTTTGCAATCACGCCTTTCATGCTAATTGTTTAATTAAATGGGGTGACTCAACTTGCCCAGTATGTCGTCATGTTCAGACGCCGGATTTAATGGAGAATTCCGTCTGCATGGAATGCGAAGGTACAGATTCTTTGTGGATTTGTTTGATTTGCGGTCATGTGGGCTGCGGTCGTTATCAGGGTGGCCATGCTGCCGCTCATTATCGAGCCACAAATCATACATTTGCTATGCAATTGGGTACTTCTAGCGTTTGGGACTACGCTGGTGACAACTTTGTGCATCGTTTATTTCAAAATAAGACGGACGGTAAACTGGTAGCCTCAACGGCAAACGACGAAGGCGAGGAGAAAATTGATTCTATGCAGTTGGAATTCACTTATTTGCTTACTTCTCAGCTGGATACCCAAAGAAAGTATTATGAAGAACGTGTTGAGCGTCTAGAGCAGGAATGGCGAGATTTCAGGCTTTCAGCAGAAGCGGCTAATGATAAAATTATTATTTTGGAACAACGTGTTCAGATATTAACCAAAGAAAAGCAAACATTAGAAAGAAAGTTACATCAAAACAATAACAAGTAAAGCTTTTATTAAATAAAAAAGAAAAATTTATATTAAATAATAAGCTTTCTTCCCATTTAGATTGCGTGACTTGCAGAAGCAATTAGCTGAAGAACAGGAAATCTCTCGAGCTTTGCAAACAAATCAAAATTCTTGGCATACGAAATATAAACTGCTTGAGCAGCAGTATAAAGATTATAAGGAGTCAAAGGAAGAAGAGTTAAATTCAGTTAAGGAGCAATTGCACGATATTATGTTTTATATGCACGCTCAGACAAAAATTGCAGAGTCTGAATTAAAAGACGAGATTGCTGGTGGTACTGTCGTGTTGCCAGAAACTCCGGAACCCTCGAGCAGTTCATCGCACAAAAATCATCGTCGCAAAAAGAGACATTAAATAATTGTAAGACTTTCAAACTTCTTGAAACAAAGGAAAAAGTATTTAAGCAAAATATTTATTATTATAATTTTTTTTTTTTTTTAAAAAAGTTTTAAGCAAATCTCTTTGATATTAAATTTTTAGTTTTTATATAAACGATATATTAAATTAAATCCATATTTACTTAAATAAATGTAGAATGAAAATAGAAAAGTGTAAACCAAAAAATTAATTACCGACATTTGTTAGCTTATCATGAAAGATAAAAAATGCTTGCAATGAGCTGTGATTATTACAATATTTAGATACGTGCATGGTCGGTTATTTTTATTCAGGCTTGTTTTAATGATTATGACAACACAGTCGACAGAGTAAAACAAGGAAATTTTATTTGCATTTATTCGAATTTAAGTAAAAAACATTCTCGAGACAAACAAATGTGGCATTTATACAGCACCAACATTGATTGTGTTGCATACTGCGAAGAATTCGATGGCATAAAAATCTCTTTTGGAATGTTGAAGAAAATTGAATAATTATGTGAAGCCTTTTGGTAGAGTGCTTTTCAGAGATGGGAGCGTAAATTTCAAAAATGATTTGGCGGAACGCTGGCCAAATTATTTAAATAAATGTAAACGCATTGATAAGTAAGAAAAGAGGCCTTTACCCTCTGTAATGTTTGCTATTGGAAAAGGGGTCGTGATGCCACATACAAAAAAAAAATGAAAAAATTTTCAATGTTTTCTTGAGCTTGCTGTAGTTTTTGTTTAGACTTTGGGCGTGTCCATTTATTAACCTCATATTCTTAATCGATCAACGAATGTTTATTTCAAATTCTTGCGACTGAAACGATTTGCAAAATTTATCGGTTAATAGTAATACACAAAGTCACATTTGCATCAAAATAATAGAAGCGGACGAATGCCAGAAAAAATGAGTGGACCTGCAAAATTTTTGTTAAAGATTGCTTTAAATAATTCTTGTTGTTGTCATTATATGATCTTTAAAATGATTATGCGCCCGAATATTAAGATAGAAATCTGAGATATACTGATATACACTGATTCATGTTTATAGAAAACGTCATAAAACAATAACAATGATAATTGATTCGATAGCTTTGCAAGCCTTTAATACGATCTATGTTCGGTAAACCCAACTCACTAAGCGGCGTCAACGTATTTCAATTTAAAAACGGCTTTAGCGAAAGTAAAATTCAAGTTCTCAGTGCAAAGGGCGGAATTTGATAATCTTGAAATTCTTCATTTTTCATTTTTCATTTTAACAAAGACAATTTCGATAGGCCCGCCTTGTAGTTAAGACGTCACTCAATCATTCATTCATTCAATTATTCGTTCATTTATTCAATCATTCATTCAATCATTCATTAAGTCACTCAATCATTTATTTAGTCATTCATTCAATCATTCATTCTTTTATTTATTCATTCATGCATTCATTCAATCATTCATTCTTTTATTTATTCATTCATTCACGTTTATTCATTAATCATTCAATTATTTAATCATTCATTATATTAGTCATTGAATCATTCAATCTTTAACGCAACCATTCAATCATTGGTTATACCATTCATTCATTCAATCATTCATTCAGCCCTTCAATCAACACATTCATTCACTAATTAATTTGAAGAAATCATTTAAAGCTTTGCGCACAGGTCTCTCAAAATAAGCAAAATCAAAAATGAGAAAAATCAATCCACACAACAACAAAACAAAAACTCAGAAACATTCGCCCTCAAAATTGTCATTTTGTTTTTACTAAAAACACCTGTAGCATAATTCTCTGTGTAAATAAAATTTTTTTATTGTTTACAAAAAGCAAATGAAACGAAAATTTGAAAATTTAACATATATCAATTTATTTGTTTATTTATTTTACTTGAACATTTTTCAATTTTTTCTATTATTATTTTTCAAAGTTATAATTATCCCACACACATGCGAACAGATGTTGTTTAAGTTCATTTAAATTCTTTAGTAAGCCTAACTACAAATCATATTTTCTTACTCATCAATTTCGAATCTTCAACACCATACAAAACGATAATTGAAAACATCATCAACATTGTATGTAGATGATATGTGTACATAATCAATTAATCTAGGAAACGTATCTCTTTTGCTTAGAAAACGTAATTTACTTGCCACACTCTTATTATTGTCCAGTTGTTTCCATCCTAACAATCCATAAATAAAGCGTCTCTGCCAAAAAACGTTTAGCCCCCATGTATGGTGCGGTCGAAATATAGTGTTTATGTGATTCAAATTGCTTACGGCTGATTTATTAAAGACAAATTTTCATCATAACATATCAAGACTTGGATGTTTTGGGCACATGTACAGCATTATGTTATGTTGGTTGGCTGGTCCAGTAAGGTTAACAACTTTCGTCAGAAGAAGTATTGAAAATTACGCACTTTTATCATATAAAGATTGCGCTTTCTGCGTAGGTACAATTATATGGCAAGGGGCAAAAATTATCCCATCCGATCCAAAGTTTTCGTACCGATTTAAAATGTCGACGTTTGTCGCGAAATTCGAAAAATTACAATATTTTTTCCTATAACAACTCATTGAAATAAGGTACTATACGAGGAGTGATCGAAAAAGTGATTCGATGTGAATCATTTTCAATAGCGTCCGCCCTTTGGCCAAGACACAAGAGTGCATCAAAAAGTGACTTGAAAATTGCAACTTGTAGATTGAACACAAAAACACATGTACGGACATCGAGTGGACAGACGGACAGACAAACTTAGATTGGTATAAGAAAAGGTCTGTCTGTGTGAAAAAACTGTCCCAAATCTTTACGGGCGTTACACACACAAAACGCGTGCGTTGAACACAAAAACACATGTGCGGACATCGAGTGGACAGATGGACAGAAAAACTTAGATCGGTATAAGAAAAGGTCTGTCTCTCTCTGTAGTCTTTATGGGCGTTACACACTGTCCGCACAAACCCCATGTTTACCTTTGTATCATAAGACACACACACCACTGCAAGCGATATGCGGTATAAGTACTACACACGTATGAGAAGACATTGTGCAGGATGTCATCAAGACCACTGAACGCATGTTCTTAAAATTCTTTGTAAATTCGTTGTATCAACAACTGAGAAGAAGTCCGTGTACGTACGTTATGTACACTTACGTACAATTAGTGTAAATTTTCATTTGCAATCACATTGGTCATCGTGTCTAACTGATCGATTATCCTTAGTACACATTTAGAAGAAGAACGTTAGTACAGTTAGATTAATATTATTAAAATAAATAAATTTTTTTTGTAAATATTACTTATGCAGGCAGCTGTTCATAGTGTTTGTCAAGTCATTAAGAATTTTTAACGCAAACAAAGCATAAATAAAATAAGAAAAAATTATGCAAATTAATTAATTAAAGAAAAGAAAAGAAAAAAAAAAAAGAGGAAGAAAACGAATGGATAAATATTTGATTTAATAAATCATTTTAAAGATTCAATAAAAAAAAAAAAGAAACCAGCAACAGCATAAAATGATTAAAGCAAATGAAAAATAGATAAACAACAAAACACAGAACACAAAAGACAGACAGACAGAATACAAAACCAAACAAATTACAATATTATGCTAAGATGGTCTGAAAAGAAAAGTGAATGTAGTAAGTGAGAGTCAGAAGTGACACACACACATACACATACACACTCACACACATACACACATCATTGAAAGAAGCAAAGGAAAGTGATCAATTTACTATATAACATTCACATTAATGATTCTAAAGATGATCGACGATCGAACAGCGAGTAGGGAGGAAATAATTTGCATAATGTTTGTGCATTCAAGTGAGAGGCATAAGTAGAAATATCCTTAAAGGATAAAGACAATATGCACAGATCTAGAAGTGTAAGCCTAAGGCCACAATAATTAATGATAGTAAGAAGATATAAAAGATATGATAATTAATAAAATTTGAATTTCCCTGCAGGCAGAGCCTAACATCTTAACAAGAGAGACAGGGAGAGTTGAAGAAAGCCAAAAAAAAAAACAAAAAAAATACCGTTTTTACCCTGAAGCTTAAAAAAAGCAGAGAGTGTGTACCGTTCTTCTTTTTCTTCTAATAAGTTACGATGATTAAATTTTGCCAGATAGATACGAGTTTATACTCCCAGCGCATATCCTCCTTGGCGCATATTCTCCGCATACCGTGCGATAGTCGGATTAATGCTGAGAAAATGGCAAATGGAAAATGAAATCAATTGATATTAGTATAGCTGTTCACCCGCCTTCAACGATCGCTGTTATGGGAAAGCCCATCACAACTTGCCATATTAACACTTTATCGACCGATAATCTATTAATGGTTTTTTTACCGCTAACGCAATAAGCATAAGAAAAGCACATATATCCCGCGACTTAGTCGAAGCCAAGACAGAGCCGCCAGGCGCCAGGAAGAGTCTAGGGCTGGGCGGCCACAGTGTTAAGTGGTGTGTGTCTGTCTGCAAAATCCGGAAAAAGAAAAGATATGCCCAACTTTGACTTTATCAGTCAATTCGGATTTTCTAAATCGATTTCAATTCGATAACTAATTTACCGGATTTGCAATTTACATTATTTCGTCAAATTACATAAAAAGAGACAGAGGTTAACTTAATGATTGCTTGAATGTATTTTGATCAGTGGCATCTATTAACGAAGTATCAAAGTACACAACGATTACATTCCATAACTTTGAACTTTCACTACATAAAGTAAGAATTTTCCAGTTAGTATGATAGGGTTATTCCATGTACACGGACGCCAATCATAGAGCGCTCAAAATTATACTTTCGACCTTCATCACTTTTGTTTTCTAACTCGGGGAAATATGCTACCGAAGCTCATCAAACATTTATGGTAGACAAAATCTTAGGGTTAAGCAGATACTCCATCAACGGATCAATGGATAAGAAATCTATTCTCTCGACATGTGCGATTGTCGACAAAATCTTATGGTTAAGCACAACCCAATCAATGGATCAATGGATAAGAAATCTACTCTCTTGACATGTGCGATTATGAACAAAATCTTATGGTTAAGCAGATA